ATATATATGTATGTATTCAGTCCTGTAGGTTTGGAGAAATACGTTTTAAGTTACTTCATTAAAAGACTTTCAGACTAGGCATAATTGTGACATGACGTTGACATTTGCCTAGTTTACTCAACATAAACTGCWTAAGATTTTGTCCTGGTTCCATTAAATGATATAGATACAGACACTGTCTGCAGTACAGCAGCTTGCTCCTCTTCTAATAAATACATTTGCACACCATAGAAATAAAAGCAACATTTGTTTTCTTTCATTCCTGGTAGCTCCATCATTCACATCAATAATCATTTCTCTCTCCAGCTCTTGTTTACCAACACCTGTTTTTGTTCCATATCCTAAAGCACCATTACTTTGCTATCCTTCAGACAAAAAAAAGTAAGAATGAAAAGACAAAACCTGCAAATGGACAAGCGAAAGAAAGAGCAAAGCAGGACTATGYTCACTTCTCAAAGGAAACTGCTTTCCCCTGGCCTTGTCTGGGCTTCTTGTCAAGGGATGCAGAACTTCTGGAACAATTGGACCTAAAAAAATGCTCCCAGTATCCCTTTGTATGAGGACTCTAGTCTGGCTCTGACATGTCATTGAAAGGCTGATTAYTAAAAGGGTTCAATGACTTTTTTTTCATTTCACTAACAATACTTCACCTGCATTTAATGAAACCTAACTATTGTGATGTTCCAAATAAATCAATGTGAATTTTTACTAATTTTTTCCAAGCAGTGCATTGCTGCAAGCCATTTTGCTGTCAGGGAACACAAGAACACATAACTTCTTAATCTTGTGTTTGAAAAGTCACTAGTACTGGCATCACTATGATAGACAGAAGATCTGAGGGTAGCAGGTAGTAAGGAATGATTGGTAAGGGAGGGTGAGCCGTTCAGTCAAAACCTTTTTAAAAAAGCAGGGTATTGCAGCTTTCAATGCATGTAATTGAATATATGATTTAACTTTTTGATATTTGTTAATGAAACTCAGTCATTCATAGCAATGGTCCTAAATGTCTTATTGTTTAAAGGGGCAATATCATGTAAAATCAACTTTTTTGAGTTTTATATCATATTATGATGTTATACTCTCATAAAAAACATGCCCAAAGCCTTGTTTTGACT